TGTCCAGCACCAGAAGCTGTGTTGGTTGGGACATGTTTTACGCATGCCGAATCATCGTTTACCGAAAAGAGTACTATTTTCTATACCCAATTCGGAGTGGCGTAAACAGAGAGGTGGCCAACCCTTGACTTGTCAGAGGAGTATGAAGGAGATCAAGAAACGCTTGGGTTCTACTCGCCTTCCAGGATGGGGACCGCGTGATCCTCACTGTGCCTGGTTGGAGACACTACAGGATATGGCTGCCAACCGATGTCAGTGGCGTTCTTGTTGTCAGTTTCTGTCCAGATTGCCTGAGTGAATGTCTGGAGGTGTAGGCACCTCGGAATGATTGTGTTAAGCTAGCACTAAGTCCCTCCCCCATCCACCTTTATTCTTTTCTTTACAATAAGGCTTTCAAATAAGTCATGGTTGTACGGCAGTGAAGCATTGGTGTTGAACACTGATGTCATGCTGTCGTTGATGATGATGATGATAGCCACTAAGAATGAGATATGTTTAGACTTTCCTACACGATAAACCAAATACCTGTTTTAGAGACCGGAAAGTGTTCCGCGCGTGGTTCTAAGTGGTTAGCTGCCTGAGGATAACTGCACTACAAAACATTCTGTGACACGGTGTTTCCACCTAGGTCAGTATAATGGTTTTGGGAAGTACCAAATAATGCAACCCCATCAACAAAGCTACAACTGAGGATGAGCCTGAGAGTACGCAGGATTTCATCTACAATGAACATGAGCTATTTCGTAAGATGTAACGTATGAAACAATGATTCGCAGCTAACATTGTGGCTAGCGTCACAAATCTCTACATTTGTGATGCCTAATCGCCTAATAGTCATCAGCTAAAACCCTTCTCCCTTTCAAGATGAGACAGTTTTGCTTCGTTCTTGTACTAAATCACCCCCAAGGAGAAACTAACTTCTGAATTTTGTTAGCACCGGAGGTCTTGTCCATTTCATATTTTCTCTCTCGGTTGAACAATCGCAGCAGCCACGCAAAATATCAGGTCCATTTCGATCACAACATAAACTATTGCAGCAGACAAACATATTCTCAAAGTATTGCGCTTATCTCAAGATGTTAGCAAACGCCTATCACAAAACAGGCAAGGATATAAATGATCACGATTATGGCTATGAAAATATTTACAAGTATTTACAAGTATACAGTCAATTAAATATAATAGTCGTCCAGATGTGGAGCCCTTTCGGCACACTGCTGCTGTGCAACTCGATTGAAGTACGAAGAATGTGATACGGCTGGATTGCCATGCATGTATAAAAGCAGTCGAAAGAACAGACTTGGGAACGAAATTTCCGGTCAGTGGTTTCAAACCGTAACCACAGAACTAGCTCGAGTGAGGAACGCATACTTGTGGTTGAGACATACAACAACAGTAAGGCGGTATGCATAGTGGTCGCCAACCCCATCAACTAGGTCATTACGAAGTAGCGGCTTTTCCAACCAATTAAACTTGAGCAGAAACGACTACACAAGATAACTAATCGTGGAAATGGATTCTTCTGGAGGATATAATAATGATAGTTTACGGTGATTACTTATTCCCAGGCGCTGTTTTGTCGTATCCTTCAGCTGCATTACTCTCAATCGGTAGTTCTACTGTTAACCTCATAAAAATGGTGCTGTATGGGCATCCAGTGCCGGCTAGGTCAAGTGTCGTCCAGTCAATGGGAGTGCACTGATGTAGAGATATATGCATCAGCTAGGTTAATGGCAAACCACTCGAAGTAATTGCTTACTAACAAACCTCGGACAATATCGGAGGGCATTTCCATTGCGCCGGTTCACCTTTGGTTCTACAAAGGGGATGGGTTCTTCGAGGAAAGAATATGATGAAAACGCTGTCTCCTCAACCATTGTTTGATAAGGCTACTTTTATCTAGGGATCAAAAATGGAGATCCATTAAAAAAACTAACCTACATAATGCCATGATTGCCTCTGCAGATAAACCAGTAGGGGTATGAGAAAACAAACAGCCTTCTTCACGAGCCTGAGGATAGCTGGACAGGAGGCAATCGGACGGTGTTTATAATCGGCAGTGGAGACAGACATGAAACAAAAAACCTTCTGCATTTGGGGTACAAAGTTACGAAAGATTGAATCATAACGAACAAAATACAAACAACTCAGCTGTGTGGTGCTTCAGTAGTTGAACTGACGGAAGAAACAGTGCACCAGCAAGAGACATGTCAAATAGTCCAGTGACATAAGGCGGATAAAAATTTCAACTGATACAGCTTCAAACGGTTGTAAGTGCAGAGGAAACAAAGGCACTTTCAATATTCAATGCGATACAATAAGAAAAGCGGTAAGAATTGGCGGATTTCTTCCGCAAACGAATGTGGTGTGAATCCAAACATCCTTCGAATATTCCAAGCTCGTTACCTCGACTACTGGTGCAGACGCAGTCTGATACCCTCCATCCGCATCTCTAACCGGTATTACAAGTCTGTTAGCACAAAGTTTCTGTCCTCGTAATAGTTTCATGTGCCGTAGACTGATCAGTCCTTCCGAAAATAGCTTCTCTACTGGGCAATACTGGATGAATAGGTCGGAAACCGGACTACAATGAATAGACGTGAAGGAAGACGGATCCCCATCCGGGGATGTAGATTTATTTAAAGGGAAGGATGTCGCAAGGGTGATCTTCATTCCACAGTACACTTGGACGTCGTTGTGCACATGTAAGAAAGCTGGATGTTAACTGTGGACGAATGATAGTTAGAACATGAAAAGCGGCTGGGGGTAAACAAGGGGGAATGAACGTTGGATTAGAAATGCGTTTGGATTGCCGATAAGAATGCGATCAAGCTAGACATCATTTCTGATTGTGAAAAAAACGGAAGGGAAATACATTTAGATTAAAGCCACCCGTAGCTATGAGCAGAATTTCATAGATACTGGGTGAGGAATTCGAAAATTCATCTAGGAGCTCACTGCCACAGTCTGAACAGACTGGAGTTCATTGCACAGATTTTTGAAGCGAATCCTATCAAATATGAGTAAGAATTGGGGGTTAGGGGAATATTCAGGCCTACGAGAATACGAAAAAATCCGGGTGGACGAATTAACCTAACCGTGTTTTTTGTCTTTTATTACGCAACCTACAAGGGAAGGTTAGAAAGAAGGAAGCTCAATAAGATCCAGGTTGCGGCTAGCCTTTAACCAGGATTCTTGGACTACAAAAATGAATGTGTTTAGCAAAAGCTTGCCCAGAAAAACCAACTCGAGATAAATTTAGGAGAAAATCTCTCGTTCAGTGATAGATAAGTGGAATGGACGTCTTCGATGCAGGCGTTTGCAGTAAATTGCAACACCGCGTAGAGTGCTCCTCGAAAAGGGACATTTACGGGACGATTTCGCGATCATAACTAACTGGGTGAAACAAAGTCTTCGGTTCGACTTTAAAGAGAATGAGCACAATGGATGACAAAATATCCTATTTGTGAAAGACAGCCAAAATGGTGTTGGGAAGCAGTCTCCCGCTACTAGATAGACCGTTTAAAGACAAGAAAGGGACCTAACTGCTAGCACAAACCTCAAAGGACCAAATACAAGCAATCTCTTCTAGGGCTGTTCTCTCCAAGGAGAAACTTAACTACAAGCTGACCGACTAAGAAGAAACCGCGAACCCCTTTTCAGTAATGACTACACGCAGCCTTTGAAAAACTCGTGAAACACTGAGCGCTTGCACCCGTCTTAAATATCGAAACGCTCATGAAAATCTACTCCTATCCACCTAGATGACTATTGTACGTGCACCGACAAATGATGAGAGCAGCAACGGTGTTATGCTCAAGCATGGTTCCAAGGGAACATTGCCGACGCAAGGACGTACGATGAAAGCTTCCGAAATACGAGGAGCACGGTACTAAGACTTATAGAAGCTCACTTCGAACGAATTGCTATGGAACTTGCATGCGACTTGGCAAGTTAGCATATCTCACGGATGAAAAGCCGAACAGAAATTTGTGTAAACTACAGCTGACTTCCTTGTTTGATCAATCTTTCAGAGTAGACAATTATGGCCAATGTCACATCTAGAGGCTATTTTTCGGAAACTAATTATTGACTTGGACAGTATGTCTGTCTTGAAAAGCGGAATTCACAGAAGTTCTAACCTACAGGGAGATAAGAGACGGTACT